ATGTGACTGTTCTTCTGGTATACCTGGAGTTTACCTGGAGAGAGTTCCGGGGGTCAACGCCCCCACGGCCTGGTCTGTGACCAGGCCTCCTGGTGGATCAGAGCCTGATCAACCAGGCTGTTACTGCTGGCTGCACGCAAACCAACGTACGAGCCACAGCCCGGCTGGTCAGGAACCGACTTTAGGTGCTTGTTCAGTGCCAGCTTGAAGACTGCCAGGGGTCTGTTGGTAATCCCCCTTATGTATGCTGGGAGGCAGTTGAACAATCTCAGGCCCCTGACACTTATTGTATGGTCTCTTAACGTGCTAGTGACACCCCTGCTTTTCATTGGGGGGATGTTGCATCGTCTGCCAAGTCTTTTGCTTTCGTAGTGAGTGATTTTCGTGTGCAAGTTCGGTACTAGTCCCTCTAGGATTTTCCAGGTGTATATAATCATGTATCTCTCCCGCCTGCGTTCCAGGGAATACAGGTTCAGGAACCTCAAGCGCTCCCAGTAATTGAGGTGTTTTATCTCCGTTATGCGCGCCGTGAAGGTTCTCTGTACATTTTCTAGGTCAGCAATTTCACCTGCCTTGAAAGGTGCTGTTAGTGTGCAGCAATATTCCAGCCTAGATAGAACAAGTGAAAAAGTGACCTGAAGAGTGTCATCATGGGCTTGGCATCCCTAGTTTTGAAGGTTATCATTATCCATCCTGTCATTTTTCTAGCAGATGCGATTGATACAATGTTATGGTCCTTGAAGGTGAGATCCTCCGACATGATCACTCCTAGGTCTTTGACGTTGATGTTTCGCTCTATTTTGTGGCCAGAATTTGTTTTGTACTCTGATGAAGATTTAATTTCCTCGTGTTTACCATATCTGAGTAATTGAAATTTCTCATCGTTGAACTTCATATTGTTTTCTGCAGCCCACTGAAAGATTTGGTTGATGTCCACCTGGAGCCTTGCAGTGTCTGCAATGGAAGACACTGTCATGCAGATTCGGGCGTCATCTGCAAAGGAAGACACGGTGCTGTGGCTGACATCCTTGTCTATGTCAGATATGAGGATGAGAAACAAGATGGGAGCGAGTACTGTGCCTTGTGGAACAGAGCTTTTCACCGTAGCTGCCTCGGACTTTACTCTGTTGACTATTACTCTGTGTTCTGTTAGTGAGGAAATTGTAGAGCCATCGACCGACTTTTCCTGTTATTCCTTTAGCACGCATTTTGTGCGCTATTACGCCATGGTCACACTTGTCGAAGGCTTTTGCAAAGTCTGTATATATTACATCTGCTTTCTTTTTGTCTTCTAGTGCATCTAGGACCTTGTCGTAGTGATCCAATAGTTGAGACAGACAGGCGCGACCTGTTCTAAACCCATGTTGCCCTGGGTTTTGTAATTGATGAGTTTTTAGATGGGTGGTGATCTTGCTTCTTAGGACCCTTTCAAAGATTTATATGATATGTGATGTTAGTGCTATCGGTCTGTAGTTCTTTGCTATTGCTTTACTGCCCCCTTTGTGGAGTGGGGCTATGTCTGTTGTTTTTAGTAACTGTGGGACGACCCCCGTGTCCATGCTTCCTCTCCATAGGATGGTAAAAGCTCGTGATAGGGGCTTCTTGCAGTTCTTGATGAACACGGAGTTCCATGAGTCTGGCCCTGGGGCAGAGTGCATGGGCATGTCATTTATCGCCTGTTCGAAGTCATTTGGCATCAGGATAACATCAGATAGGCTTGTGTTAACCAAATTCTGTGGCTCTCTCATAAAAAATTCATTTTGATCTTCGACTCTCAGACTGGTTAGCGGCTTGCTAAAAACTGAGTCATATTGGGACTTGAGTAGCTCACTCATTTCCTTGCTGTCATCTGTGTAGGACCCATCTTGTTTAAGTAGGGACCCAATACTGGACATTGTTCTCGACTTTGATTTGGCATAGGAGAAGAAATACTTTGGGTTTCTTTCGATTTCATTTCTGGCTTTTAGTTCTTCCCGTGATTCCTGACTCCTATAAGATTCCTTTAGCTTAAGTTCGATGCTTGCTATTTCTCTGACCAGTGTCTCCCTATGCATTTAAGATATATTGACCTCTTTTAGCCGCTCTGTTATTCTTTTCCGTCGCCTGTAAAGGGAGCACCTGTCTCTTTCTGTTTTACATCTACTCCTCCTTTTTCTTAGAGGAATAAGTCTTGTGCATACATTGAGTGCCACCGAGTTAATCTGTTCTAGGCATAAGTTGGGGTCTGTGTTGCTTAGTATATCTTCCCAGCTTATATCGGTTAGGACTTGGTTTACTTGGTCCCACTCTGTTTTTGTTATTGAAGTTGAATTTGGTGAATGCTTCCTCGTGACTACCTCATTATGTCGGTCTGGGGCTCCGCTCATACATGTCTGAACCTCGATTATGTTGTGATCTGAGTATATTGCTTTTGATATGGTGACATTTCGTATCAGATCATCATTGTTAGTGAAGATGAGGTCTAGTGTATTCTCCAGTCTAGTAGGCTCTATTATTTGCTGGTTTAAATTGAATTTTGTGCAGAGATTTAAAAGCTCATGTGAGTGTGAGTTTTCATCAGAGCTTCCTCCTGGTGTTATTACTGCAACAATATTATTTGCTATATTCCTCCATTTTAGGTGCCTTAAGTTGAAATCCCCCAGGAACAAGATGTTGGGTGCAGGAGCTGGCAGATTTTCCAGACAGTGGTCAATTTTTAACAGCTGTTCCTGGAATTGCTGGGATGCTGCATCCGGAGGCTTGTAGACTACCACAATGACTAGGTTTTGGTTCTCGATCTTTACTGCTAAAACTTCCACTACATCATTTGAGGCAATTAGCAGTTCTGTGCTAACAAGTGACTCTGCAATGTACAGGCCAACCCCCCCCTTTTGCCTGTTCACTCTGTCGCATCTGTATAGGTTGTAACCTGGGAGCCATATTTCGTTGTCCAAGTGATCCTTTATGTGGGTCTCAATGAAAGCCGCGAACATTGCCTTTGCCTCTGCAAGCAGTCCACGGATGAAAGGTATTTTGTTGTTTGTTGCTGGCTTTAGACCCTGTATATTTGCAAAGAAGAATGTCATCGGACTGGTGGTATTGTTGGTACTGGGGGGGGGGATTTTTTTTCCGGCATTAGTATCTGTATCTGTTGGTTTGGAGTGGAGGCCATCGACTGTGGTTCCACTCCATGAATGACTGGATTTGGTGTACGATTTCTGCCATTTCCTGCCAGTTTTTTTTCCTTCCTGGCACTAAAAAACCTCTCCCTCTTGAGTGGCTGTGGCTACCCAGGTTTTCCCATGGCCTGGATGTTTTGTAACTTTTTGTCCCCCTTAGATGGTGTGCCTGGCAATTTAAGTTATAGCACAGTCTTTCCTGTACTGAAGAGGTACACATTTCAGGGTGAAAAAGCTTACAGGAAGGGAGTTTGCATTTTCCTGTTGTCATATGGGCACGGCATTTTCTATGGTGGTCATAGTTGCACATCCCATCTGTTTTTCCAGATTTCCCATGCCTGCAGATACCAAGTGCATAGTATGTGCACAGGCTTGGTTTCCGTTTGCCTTGGGTTTCTGTGACTGTATTCCCTGTTGGTGCATGTTTACCTGTCTTATTCCTATCCTCCCTAGCACCAACAATGGAGCTCCCACCAGTTGTTTTTGGTAATATATCCTCACTATTGCTAGTGGAGTCCTCTTGTTTGCTATTTCCTGTGGTATTTCTAGTTTGCAATGTTGGTTTTATCTTATCTTTGACTACACTTGATTCCCCACTACGGCTCCTGTCTCCCATGAGGTCATTTATATGCATTCCTTCCTGCGTATAATTCCCGACTACCTGGACAAAATCTCCAGCTTCACCATTACTGTCTCCCAGGACAGCACCTCCAGCTTCACCATTACTGTCTACCAGGACAGCACTATCAGCCCCACATTTACTGACTACCAGGACATCACCTCCAGCCTTACAGTTTCTGACTACATGGCCAGTATCAAGGGCAGTACCATTCAGCCCAGACTTTTTATGTTCCCATCTGTTGTAGAAGGCTTCCAGGTTGTCTATGAAAGCAGCTTTGATGTTATCCTCTTTTAATACCAATGTGATTTTAGTCCACAGATTTATCACATTTGGGCATACCCAAAAACACTTCCCTGTTTTAATACTGCTTGTAGCTAGTTCTTGGATATCTGCACAAGGGGCGTGACACCAATTTCCACAAAAATGACAATTTATCCATGTGGAAGCCCGTTTGTTTGATTGACTGCAGACCACACAGAGCTTCATAATGATTTGAATGGTTGATTTACTGTAATTCTACTAGCAACCTCTTGAATACTCTATTAATAACCTCCTTAAAGTCAAGCTCTAGCTATTTGTATTTCTATTTCTAACTGTACTTGTATATTAAGGGCAGCTTACCGGTGTACGATCCTGTTTTATATTTATTGTTTGTGTTTGATAAGGGCGCCTACAATCCCATCCGTTTACAGTCTGCTTTATTGTCCAGCGAATCCATTTGAAACCGGGCAAAGGGTTCAGACCACTCGAGGGTTCGACCAGTCAAGGGTTCGGAACTAGTCTGATCTGATCAGTGGGTCACTTATTTAAAACATACTGGTCGGTGATTTGGGCTAACGCATGAAGGATCTACTGGAAATTATCTACCCGAGTAATATGTGATTTGATTGATACAAAAGTATAACTTGCGTGTTGAAGAACCGGTGACTGCTGGCAGCTCCTACAATGACGAACGGTCGAGCCTCAACCCTTGTTTATCGATCACTGTATCTAGCTTTTCTAGGGTATATGTATTAGTCATTATAAATCACAGTGTAACTTCTGAGGGAATTTTTTTGTTGACTGAAAATGTTAGTGTAAATAAAAAAAACTGGGAATTTATCTACCTAGCCCATTTCCTATTTGCTCTTGTAGTACCTGTACTTTAAACTGCTATATTTCAAAGTTTCACATTAATTTACTTACATTTGTAAAATCTCTGAAATCTTTTCCTTCCACAGCCAAAACAGTTAGTCTTGGGTGGCAGTGAGCAGGATGGAAGGTGCCGAGGGAGATGACATTGGAGCCACATTCCTGGCCTCAGAGCAGTACATGGTAGAAGGTCACAATGTTCACGGTCACCAACATGATGATGAAGACAAAGATGATGTTCCTCACTTGCTGCGTGAACAAGATCGCTTCTTACCTATTGCAAACGTAGCCAGGATAATGAAGAAGGGCATTCCTAAAACTGGAAAGGTAGGATATATAAATTCAAATTATATCAAGATATTGTTGCTTCTTTTTTTATACGGTATATATATATCATGTAGGTAGTAGGTTGGTAGACAGCAACTGCTCAGGGAGGTACTACCGTCCTGCCAAGTGAGTGTACAACGAAAGCCTGTAATTGTTTTACTTGATGGTAGGATTGCTGGTGTCTTCTGTCTGTCTCACAAGCATGCAAGATTTCAGGTACGTCTTGCTACTTCTACTTGCACTTAAGTCACACTACACACATGTACAAGCATATATATACACACACCCCTCTGGGTTTTCTTCTATTTTCTTTCTAGTTCTTGTTCTTGTTTATTTCCTCTTACCTCCATGGGGAAGTGGAACAGAATTCTTCCTCCGTAAGCCATGCATGTTGTAAGAGGCGACTAAAATGCCGAGAGCAAGGAGCTAGTAACCCCTTCTCCTGTATATATTACTAAATGTAAAAGGAGAAATTTTCGATTTTCCTTTTGGGCCACCCTGCCTCGGTGGGATATGACCAGTGTGTTGAAAGAAAGATATATATCATGAACATGGTGGTAGGATTGCTGGTGTTTTTTTTCTGTCTCATCAACCTGCAAGATTTCAGGCGCTTCTTGTTACTTCTACTTACACATAGGTCGCACTACACATTCATGTACAAGCATATATATACACACACCCCTTTGGGTTTTCTATTTTCTTACTAGTTCTTGTTTTTATTTCCTCTTATCCCCATGGGGAAGTGGAACAGAATTCTTCCTTCGTAAGCTATGCATGCCATAAGAGGCGACTAAAATGCCGGGAGCAAGGGACTAGTAACCCCTTCTCCTGTATACATTACTAAAGTTAAAAAGAGAAATTTTGTTTTTCTTTTTGGGCCACCCTGCCTCGGTGGGATATGGCTGGTTTGTTGAAAGAAGAAATTTTCGTGATTAGTGCTGAATTATGCATATAGTACTGTAATTGCCCAACCTTATGTATAGGCAATCACTGGAGCGGGACAAGAGAGAGACATAACAATATATACGTGGAAAGTACTTAAGGACCTAGTCCCAAATCTGCACACTGCCATAACAACATGTTTGAGTGAAAGATACGGGAGAAAGTGTTAAATAAACATGAAAAGCAGGGATGTCATGAGCACAATAAGAAAGCACTGTATCAACATACATGCATGGTCATAGACTATTGAGCATCTTGCCAGAAGACATCAGAAAAGCTACTGGGATAAGTGTAAAGGTCTTTAAAAGGAAACCGGACAAGTATCTCCACCAAGTGCCAAACCAACCAAGCTGTGATGAGCATGTGGGCTAGCAGGCCACCAGCAGCAACGGCCTGGTTGACTAGGCAACCACCAGCCAAGTCTGGCCCAAGACTGGGTTCCAGGAGTAGAAAAACCCAAAACTCATCAAAGGTATATCAGAGGTATATATGGACCAGTGGTTATGTAAATACAAGTATAGTGTATATCAGGGTTGACATAGTGGAATAAAACCATTTTTTCCCACCTGTGGGTTTGGAAAAAAAAAAACTTGAAAAACCTAACAAGGAGATTTTTTAAGTACAGTAGTTATTTTTTTTCAATAATTGACTATTATTCAGGAAAATATTCAGGATTTTGCATTTGGTTAATTTCTAAATACTACCATTTTATTTTATCTATGTAGGATATGAAAATTCTGGCCAGTAACAATTGAAATTTATATTGAATAGAATAATTTGAGTGCACACATTAAAATATAATAGTTTGAAATATAGTAATCTTAGATTTAGCTGACTTCAGAAAGAAGAGAAAATTTGGTGGGCCAGTTGATTCAGAAACAAGTGACAGTCTTTTGGTTACATTATTATCAATTATTTATTGTTTCAGTAACATGAAACTTGCTTCTGTCCACCACAAGTGCCAGTACTAGCCACCTGCATCTTCCCTCTGTTCTCTCATAAACTGAAAGTTTACTGCAAATACTTGTTAGTATTGTACATATATTCTGGTATTAAACATTTAGAGTAACCTATTACCCATTGTGGTGTTATAATTTGTATGTAATTAACTAACTATACTAGTCTCACGAAATCGTAATGACACGATTGCAAACAAACCATTCCACAGATGGGGTTTGAACCCGCGGTAAGAGTCTCAAAACTCCAGACCGTCGCGTTAGCCGCTGGTCCAGCTAGCTTCAATAAGATTCATCCAAGATTCCTAGTTGGATGAATCTTATTGAAGCTAGCTGGCCCAGTGGCTAACGCGACGGTCTGGAGTTTTGAGACACTCTTACTGCGGGTTCAAACCCCATCCGTGGTATGGTTTAACTATACTAGTTCTACGTTATCTGCAAGGCAAGAAAATTTTCGTTTAACAAGACAGTGCAATTGGCTGACAGTCTGACTTGGAGCTTGGATGACCAGAAACATCGTATATTGACTCCACATCAGGCACATATGCAGTTGGTAAACACAAGTGCTTGTGTGTTTAAACTAATTTTGAAGCTTATCTACACCTAGCATGTTTTTTAATTTTGTCCAGACCAAATATGATGTAGAGAGTATTCTCTCGGTGGTTGTTGAACTTGTGGCACAACTAAGCAAATGTCTGGAAGTAGATAAAATTAAGGTGGCAGTGTTCCTTTATATATTTTGTCTTTCCATAAGCATCCACCATTTTGCAGTGTTAGGAACTTGTGCTTGAAACATTGAAGCAGGAAATATTTCCTCGTCCCTAATCCTGAAAGTCATGAAATATAGGAGGGGGATACCTCATGCCAGGGCATTCTTCTGCAACCTCTTTTACTTAGGTTGTTTAATAGGAACATATTTAAAACGTTTTCCCTATATTTACTCATTCATTTTTTAAAAAAAGCAGGCTGGGTTTTTAAAATAGTTGGTAATTATGCCGAGCCTTCTCCACAGGAGCTTTAGTTCTTCACTACATCTTTCCTCAGAGATCTGTGAGTTCTTTTCCTTGTTCAATGAGTTCTTTACAGCAGGAAAAGATGTGAAAAATTACCTTCATTGACTTGGTTCACAAACATGTTCTTTCACTCTGGCTTTGGTCAGTGCATGAAATCACAGCCTTCCTATCCTCTTCAACATTTAATATATATATGAAGTTCATAACAATTAATAAAATAATTAGCAAAAAGTAGGAAAATAAAGTAAAAATTGATTACATAGCTAGTGAAAGAGTAGAAACATAGGTACAAATCAGCACAAGTGAAAATGAAACAGTGATACAGAATAGTGATACACAGGAAACATATTCAGGATGTGAGAGAGTAATTAAGTCACAGGGAGTGAAACTATGTTGTATACAATTATTGAAATCATCAAATATACCTACCCCTGCTCAGCTCACTCTGTACCACAATCTTATCTATCCATATCTCTAATGTTATCTGTGTATGTGGACTGTGTGACCCTTGCAGGTTTAGCACTTAGTTTTGATTGTAGTAATAATATGTATGGGGATCAACATCTCTAAACAATCTTAAACCAGTATTCATGCAACTAGTCATGCAGGTACTAGTATTATATCACATGCAAGCTTAGGACAACACTCACCACCTCTACTCAAAATGTTAAACTCGCTAAACATAAATACCTTTCATGTATTCTGCTATTCGTTTTACATCTTCAAGATATTCGAGCAAGATAACAATTTGGAATTAAGACGACCTAGAGAACTTCACCACAACCCATGAATATCAGACATGAATTAAATTCCTTTGATATTCCATGTATATGTCTGAATCTGTGTCAAAATAGTATGTGAATAAAAGGGCCTAAAATCTGGAATAGTCTACCAGAAGAAATAAAAAACTGTGTATCCTTAAATTTAAACCACAACTCAGAAAATATTGTCTAAACCCTGTGAAGTTGTATTTTTCACTACCAAAATTTGTCTCCATTATATTATCTGAATTCTCAGTTCTCTTTATATTTTAGGTTTTTGTGCTCCTTGTCTGATGTAGTGTTAATATTTTTCATTAATGTTATCTGTTAATTTACTATGTCTGTTTTTTTTCTTAAATGCTTGTCTTACTCAATATATGTATTAAATAGATATCATAATAATAATATCTTTATTACTACAAGTACATGTACAAGGTATACAGGCCCAGCTGACATCAGCAACATACTACTATATAGAAAGCCTCTTGTTATGCAGAGCATTTCAGGCAAATTAGGTTAATTTTGTCCCAGGATGCGACCCGCACCAGTCGACTAACACCCAGGCACTATTTTACTGACAAGTGAACAGGGACAACAGGTGTAAGGAAACACAACCAATGTTTCCACCCTTGCTGGGAATCGAACCACAGACCCTCAGCGTGTGAAACGAGCGTTTTGCCTACCAGGCCATGGGCCATGATGTTGGGTATTCTTTGTACTGCATATATAGTATATATATATGTATGTATGTATGTATGTATTTTTTTTTTAACAAGTTGGCTGTCTCCCACTGAGGCAGGGTGACCCAAAAAGAAAGAAAATCCCCAAAAAGAAAATACTTTCATTATCATTCAACACTTTAACCTCACTCACACATAATCACTTTTTGCATAGGTGCTCAGAACACAACAGTTTAGAAGCATGTATGTATAAAGATACACAACATATCCCTCCAAACTGCTAATATCCCGAAACCCCTCCTTTAGAGTGCAGGCATTGTACTTCCCATTTCCAGGACTCGAGTCTGGCTGTATAAAAATAACCAGTTTCCCTGAATCCCTTCACTAAATATTACCCTGCTCACACTCCAACAGATCGTTAGGTCGCAAATACCATTCGTCTCCATTCACTCCTATCGATCACGCTCATGCACGCCTGCTGGAAGTCCAAGCCCCTTGCCCACAAAATCTCCCTTACCTACTCCCTTCAACCTTTTCGAGGATGACCCCTACCCCGCATTCCTTCCCCTACAGATTTATACGCTTTTCGTGCCATTCTACTTTGATCCGTTCTCTCTAAATGACCAAACCACCTCAACAACCCCTCTT